CCATCGCGTTCTCCCATGTTCCGGGTTCTCAGGTGCAGGGCGGGTTTAGTAGTGACACACAGGCCTAGCCCCACCCCCTGAGCTCCGAGTGCACCACAGGGAAGGAGCATGAGGCCCAGGCATCTGAAACAGCTCTGTGGGAGCCACAGTCTGCACCCTGCAGGGAAAAGAGAGAATGTGTGAAGCCTCTCAAAAGAGGCTGGAGCCAGGGAGAAGCTGGGTGCAGGAGAGGCAGCTGGGAAATGGAGCAAGCACTCAGAGCCCTGGGACAGGGCTGGAATGAGGTCAGGCCAGGACCAGATGTGGCTGCATTGATGGCTAAGCCAGGGCACCCAGCAGAGTGTGAATGCCCCAGGATAGAGCCCTGCCTCCGCCCGTGTCTTGCTGCGGGAGCATGGAGCTCTGTCTACATGGCCGGGTTTCCCATCCAGGACAGGGACTGGACAGGGTGGCAGGAGCAGTGTGGCCCAGAGAACCGAGGCCAGCCTGAGAAGAGGCTGCTCAGGGACTTATGGAAGCAGCAGGGCTGGCATCTCCTCCCCATGGGGGGTCTTCCCATGTGGGCCAGCTGCCTCAGCTGTGCAGGGCTGGCCTCCTCAGGGCAGAGCTGCCCAGTGCCTGCGGGTGCCTGCAGGTGCTTGGTAAACAGAGAGGCCCAGGCTTTTTTTTTTTTTTTTTTGGTGAGACTGAGTTAGTTACACTCTTGTCGTCCAGGCTGGAGGGCAGTGGGGCAATCTCAGCTCACTGTGGACTCTGCCTCCCGGCCTCAAGCAATTCTCCTGCCTCAGCCTCTTGACTAGCTGGGATTACAGGTACCCACCACCATACCTGGCTAATTTTTTGTGTGTTTTCAGTAGAGACGGGGTTTCTCTATGTTGGCCAGGCTGGTCTCAGGACACAGATAGGGGTTAGGCCAGCCCCACTCATGGGACAGATCCCAGAGGAAGGTCACAGAGTCCAGGCCCACAGAGTTGGGGTAGTGCCGCGGCCTCTTCCCACTGCAGGACGAGTAGCAAGGCCAGAGCCCCTGCACCCTGAGGGTTCCCTGGGCCCTGAGGCTCATGTAGCCTGCAGGCCTGGTTCAGCCTGGGTATAGCTCAGGCCCCTGGGGAAGGATAGAAGTGGACAGGCAGTGCCCTGGGGCCATGCTCCTAAGATTCATTGGTACCTTTCAAAGGATCTCTGCTTGCTCTCATCTGCATATGCCCCGTAACACCCCATGGAGTAAAGACGATGTAGAGAAAAGTACTGGTACCTTTTCCCTGCTTCTGAAAGTCCTGGACCTCAGCATTTCTGTCCCCGTCCCCGTGGGCCGTATCTGTGTGTTGGCTCTTTCTGTCCTGCCAAGGTAGAACCGTTCTCCACATTTCAGGCTGTGAACTTGGCCTCTTGAGATAAGTGCCGTAAATGCTCCTTTATCCTGACATCCAGGCTCTCAGGCTATGAAGCCTCTCTTCCCTGCTAGCTGGCCTTTACGTAATGTAGCGCAATTTATTTTTATTCTGTCCTTTTCACAGCTGCATCCTGTCATCCCAGGAGGAGGCAGGTGTGAGGCTAAGGTAGTGAGGGGGTAGCTGTTTAGGCACCCGCATTGTGGATGCCCTCGTTCCCCTGGAACACCCCAGGATCCGGGCCCTGGGTGGCTGCTGCCGCATCCTCTCTGACTCCCACTTGAACACCTGCTGTTCTCCTTCCTCTCCTGCCCCTCACCGAGGACCTGAGAGCCCATTGGCACCAGGACTGTGCCCCTGCATCCCTGCAAGGTGGTAGCAGGAGCCTCCAAGAGGGCTGGCTCTGCCCAGAGTAGGGGTTCCAGGGGTGTGGAAGAGGAGCCCAAGGAGGGCAGGCATCCAGGCAGAGGGAAGCGACTGCTTCCTAGGCAGTTGCTGCTGGTCAGTGTGGCCAGAGTTCAACATCCCCAGGCGGGAAAGGTGGGAGCCAGGGCTGTGGGTGGGCTGAGCCAGGGCTCTGAGGGGCTCAGGGCCTCTTTACGGTTTGCTTTTAAGCCTGGGGTGGCCCTGGAGGCCAGAGAGGAGGGCCTGAGAGCCTTGGTGGGGCTGCCCCAGAGAGCAGGGCTGCAGAGCTGGGCTCCGTCCCTGAGCACCCTAGCTCAGCAGGTCTTGAGCACACAGCAGGCCGGGCTGGGTGGGGCACCGGGGCCTGGAGCGCTGCAGGCCCCACTGCTGCCTTCGCCTCAGCCCACATACTGCCATCGCAGGTCAGGCGTGAGAACAGCCTGGGCACTGCCTTTGTGGTCCCAGGGCCTAGGTCAGGCACAGGGCTGTTGCCTCTCACCCTGGGGGTCTCTGCCACTGGCTTCTAGGGTCTCTGAGAGGAGCTTGCCCAGCGTCCAGGCCCACGGAACCCAGCCCAGAGGAAGCCCGGGCTCCTGGCTCACTTGAGAGGAGGCCACGTGAGAGCAACTGACAAGATAGTGATGACATCTCCAAGGCGGAAAACCCATCTTTTATTTATTTAATCCAAACCATTGTGTGAATTATTCATTCACCTTTATGTAAGCGACTGAACTACAGGGATAAAGGGGAGTCAGAACGCTGGCTTGATCTGCCCCAAGCTGAATCGACCATTGAGGCAGCCTTGCCTAGAGGATGGGCCCTTCCCTACCTGGACAGGAGACCAGGGTCAGAGCCCCTTCCCCTCCAAGGGCCTGTGTGGCATGGAGGTGGTCACTTCCCCTCCAGGGCCCTGGGTTTCAGATGTCAACAGGCGGGAGAGTGGCCCCTAGGAGAGAGAGCAGCGGCCCCACTGCTCCCAGCTGCGTGGGTGGTGGTTTTGCCCCTGAGAGAGGGCCCCACACAACACCTTCCTCACCCTGGGACCTCATGCCAACCCACCATGGATGGGCCATGCAGCCTGGAGCCCCGACTGCCTCCTATGGTCTATGAGCAGCACAGAGGCAGCTTTGAGGTCTATGGGAAAACAGGGCTGTTTCCTCCTCCAAAGTCAGGCTGCATTTATTACCAAAATCTAATTCTTCCCCTTTGGACATCTGAGATGTATTGAAGGCAGCACAGGCCCTGTTAGGGATAAACTATGGCCTCTGAAGTATGGTCTCTGCATTATTCCTTCTGCGTGTGGGATTCCTGCTACCGATGGCCCTGTCTTCCAGAGGATCAGCCCAGGGATGCAGGGAAGAATATTGGGGTCATTGCTGCCAATTAACCTTCAGATTTCATTGCCTGATTGCTCGGTTCATCAAGGACCCCGGGCCCTGGGCCCTAGGCCTTTGGCCTTGTCCTGCTGGAGGAGCTCAGCTGTGGAATAACAATGTCCCACAGGGCTGCCTTTGCCGGCAGCAGAGGGAGGAGGCCAGGTTGGGGCAAGAGCCGAACCCAGTGCAGATGCTGCAGTCCTACAGTTAGACCAGTGCCAGGGCCCCCCTGCGGACAGACCCACAGTGGTACAGACCCTGTCTCCTCCCAACCTCTGACATCCCAATGCCATGAACATGAGCCCTGCACTGCTGCTCCTTCCAGAACCCATGGCAGGCAGCACCCTTTCTCTTGCAGCCCAGCAGTGAATCTCTGTGAGCCTCAGTGTCCTTGTGTGTGGATTGGGGATCGGATTGTGTTCGTAGCTGTCACAGCCAGACAGTGAGTGAGCTTGCACATGGAACATGCTGCTTGACTGAGCTCATGTCTTTGGGGGTGCCCAGCAGCTCTGAGCTCTCAGTGGTGGCCTCTGGCACACGATCTAGCCAACGCCTTTGATATCCGTGTGGTAGACAGAGGTCCTGGGAAATGGGGTGAAGGGATAGGTTTGGGGTTACAGGTCGGGGAGGCTGAGCCAAGCTGGAACCATGGCCTTTCCCACGTTCTCCGTCTTCCTCTGCAGGTTTGAGGGCTTTTTGTTTGCACTTGGTTCCTGTTCCTGCTTACCTCCTCCAGGAAGCAACACTGACTGCATCCATCTGCCTTAAACTGGCCTGTAAGCGTCTCTTTGGACCACTGTGCACGAACTCTCAGGCAGCCCCTCTCTCACTCGCTGTGACCTGGCCAGCAGGCATTCACACTTGCATCTTCCCTCACCCTCCTCTGGGAGACCCCACACCCATCCTGGGGCCTTCAGACTCATCTCTAACTCAGGACCAGCATTCCCCCGGGCGCTGCATGGGCTTGGAACCCTTGGTTTCTCCCCAGCCATGTGGCCATGGTTGACTTGAATGTCCCCTTTCTCTGCCCAGCCAGGGAGCTGACCGTCCCGTGCCTGGATGTGGGTGCTTGCATCAGTTCTGTGATTTGGTCCCTTGTCCTAGTGGAGGGAGGCTGGCGGCTGGCCCAGCTCCCCTGGCCTGCAGGATAGGATCCAGTGTCTACTGTCCCCACCTGGAGCGGTCCCAGGCCCCTGCAGGGCTCCCTATCGCCAGCTCCAGACAGCACTGCTAGGAAGTACCCAGCCTAGGGGACAGCTCTGTGTGCCTCTAAGTGGAGCCAGTCCTGATAATTAACGGGGGGATAAATCAAGGCTTAATTACTTGGAAGGCCTCTCGGGTGAGAGATTCATGATCATTGCTGTTATCCTCCTGATGGCTCTGCACAGCATTTCCTCCCCAAGCAGCTGTAAATCCTGGCGGGTGGGGCGCAGGGTTGTGCCCTGAATGGTCACTTAAAGCTGCGTGGGGGGTAGTGGGCCTGGGCAGGGCCAGCTGTCATCTCACAAGTGGTCTGGCCTCAGAGGTGGCTGGCAGATCAAAGCCCTGGGGCAATAGGATCCAGAACATCCAGGTTCCCGGACTGCTTCTGGAGTCCAGCCCTCAGTTACTGTTCTTAATGCAGTAACTTCATTAAGAGCGTCAGTCTGTGTCAGCTCACCCCTCACTCTGGTTTCCTCATGCGTGCAGATGGAGGCTGGCCAGTGCGACACATGGGCCGCCTGCGTCCCTGGGCAGCCTCCACTCCTGCCCCCACTTGACCTTCTCCTGGGTCCCCGCCCCTCTGGCCTGGTGACACACTCACCATCTCCTTTCCTCCCTCCCACAGAGCTGAGGAAGCAGGTGGAGAGCGCCGAGCTGAAGAACCAGCGGCTCAAGGAGGTTTTTCAGACCAAGATCCAGGAGTTTCGCAAGGCCTGCTACACGCTCACTGGCTACCAGATCGACATCACCACAGAGAACCAGTACCGGCTGACCTCGCTGTATGCCGAGCACCAGGGTGACTGCCTCATCTTCAAGGTGGGTCCCGCGTGCGCTGGCTCTCTGGCTCTCCTGTTTCCTCTGATGGGGATATCTGATTGTAGCCCTTGGCAAAGGAGCAGCCTCGTGTCTGAAGGCAATGGTGTGGTGGGCCGGGTGGAAGGGAGATGCGTTGGCCTGTCCTCTTCACCCCTGAGGCTTCTCAGCCTTGGACTAACCCCATGTGGCTTTGCAGCCTTGGACCCCCTGGATGAGTAAGGCCCTGAGCCACTCCCCTGACTTTCTTGGCCTCCGTCTCTCCTGACTTGGGCATCATTCCGTGAGGGTTGGGGCTCCAGGCATGTGTCGGTGTGTCCAGAGGCAGCAGCGCCTGGGGAGGACTGAAATCTATGTGGAGCCAGGCAGGGGCACCTTTCAAGCTGCCAGGCCAGAGACCAGTGCAAGGTGAGGTAGACAGACTAGAAGAGGAAGGGAGAGCCAGCCGCGTCTCCACACTCGCATCCTGTAAGCCAGCGGGTGCTCTTCTGGTTTGCTGGTGAAGCTGGGCTAGGTCCATGGTTGTGGGCATGGAGAGTCTCGGGTGAGCAGGGTCAAGTAGCAGAAATTGGGGTGTTCCGTGTTGACCATCAGGGTAGAGGTGGCCCCATATGGACCTTAAGCATCAGGAAATCCAGGGCGGCAAAGGCTTGTTATCACCACCCCAGTGAGCTAACATCCCGTTTGTGAAGATTGTGCCATTGGCCTGGTATGGCATCTTGGCCTTAGCATGGCCTCGAGGCTGCTTCAGGAAGGCTGGAGTGGGCGGTGGCTGTCGGATATGGGGACAGGCAGAGACCAGCCCTACCTGAGACTGCTGCAGTTTGTCTGGAATGGGCATCTAACCCACCTGCAGTCTGCAGCCTCTGCGTGTCTTTCTAAAAACAGACCCGACTGTTTCTTTTGATTTGTATAAAAGCTGTACCCAGTGCGGCCTATGTGTGTCCATTGGCCTCTCACAGCAGCGAGCCACTGCCCATCGGAGTCAGCCTTAGCCCGGTTCTTCCTCCTCCTGCAAACTCACCTGTCTCCCTAGCCAGTGCTGCATGGGGTGCAGTGCTGGCTCCTCTGCGTTCCTTGTGGATTTCCTGCTCCTCAGATCATGTTCATCCACGTCTACACTCTTGAAACTCTCAAACCTTTGAATAATACAAACACACAAAGTCTTTAAGCTATCAGAAATGTATTTCTTCACTTTTACATAATTCTATAACTTTGAATAATTCACAGAGAGGTGTTTAATACATTATAGAAATTCCATGGGTTTTGAAGATGATTAGGTATTAATAAAGGTGTATCACGAACAGTCACCACTTAACACATCACTCGTTACATCAACATTTACAAATTAAGAGATGGCGTTTTCACCAGATCCTTACATGTGCTGTAGTTGAAGCAATGGTCTTACGAAGACTAACTCCAATGGAGCCTTGGGGCATCTTCCACAGGGTTTTGTATTTAGATTGTCAGAAATCCAAAAGAGCGAAGCGAGTCACCTACCTGCGTGAGGCAGCCGCAGTCGTGCTTTATTGCATTTCCTTTCGGTGTTTTATATATAGGCACGTGCATAGATGTCTTCATTGTATCTGGTAACTCGGAATCCTGGGATTCCATTGTGTGCGCTCTTGTGTTACTTTTTAAAATCACCATCAGCAAGTAGTTTCTTGACCACTCTCATAGCCCCTCGTGGGCTTCTGGAACCCCTGCCTGGTGTCCTCAGGTTTCCTGGACACTAGGTCCCTCCCCATCATGCCCTCAAGTGTGAGCCCTGCCACTCTACCTGCTCAAGCCAGCATCTTAGCTCCCCTAGAACTTCAGCTCTCCTCCCCACCTTGGCATCCTCTCAGCCCCCAGACTCCTGAGGTCAGGGAGAGGCAGGGAGGGGGCCCCAGGAGGAGGAGGCAGGTGGGTAGAGAGCCCAGGAGCTGGCCAGCTCACAGTGTACAGGAGGCCTGGCTCACCCTGAGGGGCTGAGGTTCCTGCAGGGATCTGGCCTGGGCACCGCAGCTCCTGCTGGGCATCCCACCTGCCTTCCTAGACTCTTGTGATCTGGAGCCTTGGTGTACTCCCCAGGCTGCCCCCTCACTGCCCATCCTCCAGCCCTTGCTGTCCCTTCTTTCTAATGGCAGGCCTGGCCTGGCCTGGCCTAACCTGACTCTCCAGACCATGGCCTGTCCTGGCCCAAGGCCTGTGTGAATGTGTCTTTGCAGGCCCTGAGGGATGGGTGTGCTGGGTCAGAAGCCACGGAGCTGAGGCAGCTGCCTCTGGCAGGACGGCTGGGCCAGCGGCCCAGTGCTCCACCAGCAAGGCCTGGTGCCCACAGCAGCCCAACTCCCTACCCTCCCAGCCGCCCACCACACCTGCTCTGGCTACATTCTGGGGACTCAAGTGGATGGTATCAGGGAACAAGTTTTCTTTTAGCTCAGCTGCTTTCCCACTGTGTAACATGTGCTGTGTTTTCATGCTTGAAGCTCACAGGATCAGGGAGATTAAAGATGGAAGGGCTTTACAAGTTGATGTTTGGAGGCAGGGCTGAGAGCTCCCTGGCAGACCCGACAAGGGGCGCTCTGGGCAACCAAGACAGGAGGCTGACTCCAGGTGAACATGTGGGCTGGTGCCCAAGTGCAGCCATTGCCAGCGGAGTGCCGGCTGGGCCTCTGCCTCATCTGTAAAGTAGGCACAGTAATGTCCGACCCACAGGAGTAAGTGGGGTCATGCTCCCAGCACACCCATCGTGGTTGCTGAGACCCCACCTTGGTCCATCAGCTTCATTTCTGAGCAGTGAAGCCCCTCAGGCAGATGCTGCCAACTTGTGCCTGCATTTGTCCACGGGGCCTCAGCATCAAGGCCCACCTGCTCTGTCCTCTTCACCTGGGCCCAGCTTGCTCATAGACACCTTCTCCAGGAAGCCCTCCTGGGTTCCCCAGGCGTGGGACCCTTTCTTCAGCTGACTCCCCTCCTAGGACACCTGCCACCTTGTGTTTTGCCTGACAGGGGACTCTGCCAGAGGTTTTATTCCGTTGGGCTAATTGTCCCTTGAGGGTTGCCAGGGAGCCTAAGCGTTCCCCTCCCCCGTGCCCCTCCCCACTAATGGGTTCCTTGTTCTTAAAAATGCTTCTTGTTCCATTTCTCTCCCTGGTTTCCTTTCATAGCCTCTTTCCTCCGGCCTTACCCAACCCCCACCCTCTCCTCCTCCTCTTCCTCCTCCCACTCCTCCTGCTCCTTCCAGACTCTGTCCTGCCCAGCCGGCATGCCCTGCTGCTAGCTGCACGCAACACCCCACATGTGTCCTCCCTTTTTGGAGGGCTGGGGCTTCACCAACCTTCCCGTGCCCCATCCGGTTGACGTGGTGGGATCTCCTGTCGGAAGGATCTGGGCCTTGAGAGCATTTTCGTGAGGGCCGACGCTGGGTCTTGGTCTCCTCACCTATTGAGTGGAGATGACTGCAGCTCACCTCAGAGGCTGCAGGAGTCGAGTCTGATCAGTGCTAACAGCCAGCCCTGGCTGCCTGTGGAGCTGGGGAGGGTTCACATCACGCTGGGATCCCTGTTGGCTGGTTCAGCTCCAGCCCACGGGGCACTCATGCTTCTCCCAGAGCTTGATCCTGCAGCCCTGCCTGCCACCCCCCAGAGCCATAGGATAGCCCTGCCAGTCTCGACTGCGCTTTCATGCCCTCTGAATGTTCTTCCCTGCAGCTGCCTGAACCTCTCCTGCAGGGGCTTGGCTGCCAGGGAGCCAGCTAGGCTGGGCTGGGCTCCTCGTGGGGCCCATGCAGGTGTATGAGGGAGCAGGAGGCAGGGTCTGCATGCTTCGGCCTCCTGGCCTTCTCTGCCTGTAGCTCTTCTTTGCTGTGCCTCAAGTGGGCAGAAAGCACAGGGCCTCTGGAAGTGGCCTTCAGTGTCCTGGTCCCTGCAGACCTTCTGGATGGCCTGCAGTATTCCAGCTTTCAGTGGCTCCCAGTGAGCTGACTCTTCCCAAGTCCTCTTCTGAGCTACCCTTCACTGGGTGAGGCTATCAGCCTCCTGAGAAATCCTCCTTGGGTGCCAAGAGGACAGTCCTGGAGCTGCCAAGTTTTCTGGCAGGAGCTCTGACCAGGAGACCAGCATCCGTCCTGCCCCATCCGTCATTCCTGTCTCCTTTGTACCCGGAACACCAAGCTTGGTGACAGGGGAAGCATTAGTGCTGTTCATGGCCGCCCCACACCCCAGCTCAGGGCCTGGCTTATGGAGAGGGAGCTCCAGACCTTTGCCAGACAAACAGAAAGATAGATTTCGGGGGAACAAAAAGGAAGAGATAGACAGCGAACAAACAGACAGCAGGCTGACCTGTAGGGCAAGGGCTCATGTTAGCACCTCTGCCTGCAGACGATTACTGATTCCTCAGGGCCAGGTGGTAGTGGCCCTGGCCTCCATTGTCCAGAGGGGAGGTAAGAGACACTCTGGAGTCACCTTGTCCCTGGTAGCTCCTGACCCTGGTGTGTACTCTTGACCAGGCCACTGTGCTCCTGTGAGACTCAGTTTCCCCATCTCTCATGAGGAACGTGGTCTGGGTATTCCCTGGGGGCCCTGACCTTGGCCTCCAGGCTTCAGAAGGGCATCCCCAGGGAGCTGAGCATCAGTGGGTGCTTCCGGAAGGATCTGCCATGCTGAGGAAGGGCCATGAAAGGCAGAGGCTATTGTAGGAGGGCAGGGAGAGCAGGGACACAGGTTCCCTGCCCCATCCCACCTGGGTACTGGCACACATGGTTCCTGTGCTCCTGAAAGATCTTGCCAAACCCCAGCCTCCTGGCCACTCCATTCATTTTATCTGATTTTCCCCCAAATGATTCTTCAGGCAGAAAGGGGGCTGCATACGGAGTTAGAAATAGCGAAGCTCGTTCCAGTCAAGCGGGTTCCACAGATGTGTGCTGAGATAATTGAGGGTTTGCCACACAGTCCCCTGCTGCTCTGCCAAGAACGGGGCTTCCCATCCTAGCCAGGACCAAGCCTCTTGCCGCATGGGTG